GGGGCTGCACCCCGCAAGCTGCCTTGCGGGGTGCAGTGTCCCTGTGAGCAGACCTGATCTGGAGACGCCCGCGGCGGGTGTCTGGGGCCGCGCGCCTTGTTCTCGAGGGTCGGGTGTTTTCGCCTGCGGTCTGCGCCCAGTTTAGCAGCCACCCCCTCTGCAGCGTCCACGGTCATTTGGTAATTATTCCACACCCCCCACTCCAAGAAAATACAGTGCAGCGACCCCTTCGTTGTTCCGGAGCGCAGTGGCCCAGGTGACCACAGACTGCCAGCGGCCAGGCTTTCCTCGCCTCCCCTGGGCTGTGAGGTCTCTCTTACGCCGTGGCTGCTGGGCAGGGCTACAGCGCCCCAACAAGCCCCATCGCCAGTGAGGAAGGGGCAAGCTGGCCTGTAATTGACCTGGAGCGCTGGCAATTGGGGGGCAGGACCCCTACGTGCCATAGGGGGTGGGGGGCTGGCAGTCTTGCACCTGCAGGAGGCTGTAGCAGCAGCAACACGGTTGCAGAAAACTCTTTGGGACTTAGGGTGGGCAAACTTCGATGAATGCCCCTGAGGTGACTCCACCGAGGGGCAGCAAGGACAGAGGGATGCGCGCTTAGCTTCAAACTATGCAAGTCCAAGATGGGACTGTGGTTCCCACAGCTCCAGCGCCCCTCCGGTGTCCTGTCTAGACTGGGCTGCAAAGAGTGTATGAGACTAATGTTGTGTTTTATTAATCGCTAAGAAATTGGAGAATTAGGCCTGAAAAAATCATGTGCTTACATAAGGCCACCTGACCTATCCTTACTCTAAGCCTTAGTTTTGCCTTCTGTGAAATGGGCATGAGAACGGACCCCACTTCCTGAAGTGTTTGTGAGAGGCCACAGTTCCAGGTCTTGCCTGAAAGCCTTGCCATGGCCCCCAATGTCTTCTCTGAGGGTGCTCCTTACTACGGGCCTGTGGCCCTTCTGGGATCAAGGAATCGCCAGGGAGCACGGACTCAGCTGAGCGAACTAGCTGGCTGGTCTCAAAAAATGACAGCTTCCTTCTCAGGGAAGTGGAGATTAGAATTCCCACTTCACAAACTGTTTTTAAAAATGAAAATCAAGTAACCTGAGGAGTGAATCCAGCATGTGCCAAGTCTTTCGGTGATTTTGGACAAAATGAGTCTGTGTGTCCCAGTTATGTAAGGTAGCGAAACAAATCACGTCAGAGAGTGGGCTCCTCCCTGGTGACACAGCAGGTTAGAGCACAGCACTGAGAAGCTAAAGCCACTTCAGCATGAGTTCATCCCCGCCCCGGAGGTGACCCACATGGCGCGGCAGACCTCCCCTGACCCGCCCGCTGCTCCCCTCAGCAGTGTACTGCTCGTCAGGCATCCTGTTCTGCTCCCCACTCTGTCTCTGGTGAATCCTCTCATCCCCCGCATCTCTGGCCTGTACCCCAGTTCTGTGTGCATAAATAGATAAATCTTTAAACAATAAAAGAGAGAGAGTGGCCAGGTAACAGTGCTCCCCTGGATTTGGGCAGGGCTTGTGGGGGTGGCTGCAGCCTCAGTTGGGGTGGCCCAGTGGGGCTGCAGGACCTTCCAGGGTCACACTCGGATGTGGCCGCTGCTGACCTGGCTGTCAGCTGGGCTCTGCTGGGGCTGTGGGCAGATCTCGGTGCCTCTTGATGTGGCTCCTCTCCAAGGTGACCTTGGACCTGCCCATCTCTTAGGCCTGGGCTCAAGTCGGCACAGTGTGGTTCCACTTTATTCTGTCGGCCAGGGAGATACAGAGCCCACCAGGTCCCAGGGAGCCGACTTAGATCCCACCTCCCAGTGAGAAGAGTAGCAAACGTTTCTCGGCCATCTTGAATTTACCACACCTTGGGAGACGTGGTTGCTGCCTCCCACCCTCAGGCCATGGAGGCAAGTGACTTCTTCCTTGCTCGGATGCTGGGTTTCCTGTGGCAGGCGAGCAGGGGGACCAGTCTCCATGCCAGGAGCCTCTCACGGAGTCTGTTTGGGTCAGGACCGGTTTGTCTGGGCCTGAGTCAGAGCTGAGCAAGCAGGCGTCTCCATGGGGGTGTCTAGCATGTTTCCCTGACACCCCTGGGGCCTCTTTTCCCAGGCCTATTGGCTCCAGCCTTAAGATGAGGGAGAAGCCAGGAAGAGAGCGAATGGATTCAGAAAACGGGATTTTAGCTGGTAGCCTGGGCTGACTAGATGAACTTGTCTGTGGCTCTCAATTCCCTGGAGAAGTTGGTTTGTTTTCAAGAGGGTGGATTCCCTGGACATTTGGAATACCATCATCGTGGGGCTTCATTAGGCTATATTAGGTTATTAATGGGTGGGATGCAGCACTTTGGAGGCAGGAGCCAGGTGGGGGCAGGGTTCCATGACAATCTTCCACCCGGGGATAGTGCTTGCGACCTCAGAGCAGGAAGAACTACTCCGTGGTTCGCTTACTGTCTCAGACAGACCACAGACTCTCCCCAGACAGACCGTAATGGCCCTTGCAGCAGTAAACTGAGAGGCATTTTCCCAAGTGGATACCCACCCACACTCTCAAAAGCAAAATAAGCTGTCTTCCTGTCGCCTCAGGCCACATCCTGACTGTCACCTGCACCACCTTGCTTCCGGACCTGCCACTTTCGAATGAGACGCAGCCCTTTGCAACACGGAGACTGCTGAACAGGGCCTGCTTGGGGGGCTTTTCTCTGGGACCCCTAGCAAACTGTGCCGGATGGGAGGGTGGTGATTTGCCCTCTGGGAAGGCAGTCTCACAGATGACCTCACAGAGCCAGGAGTCCCCACATCCGCAGAGACCCCGGCATGTGGCCGGGGGCTTCCTAGTCCTGGCAACATATCCTACCAACAGCTTCTATGCGGACCCCCTTGGCGGGAGGCGAAGCCGAAGTAATGCAGCACCTGGAACTGGCTGCAGTCTTCTAGAGTCATGCACGGCTGAATCACGTAGTTGTGAGGCCCTGGGCACTGGCCTCTGCTCCTTGAGGCCTGAGCTTCCTACCTGCAAGATGGGGAAGCTGGGCAGGGTTGCCCCCAGGGTCCTTCTGGCCCTGCTGTGCTGAGGTTGACTAGCATGCTCCTGAGGACCAGAAGGCCAGAGCCCCCTGTTGCCCCTGGCCGAGGCATGCTGGTCAACAGATGCTTGCCGGCCGGCCCAGAGCCAGCTGACTCCAGGTCCTTACTCCGCTGGGCTGCGGAACAGGACCTGCCTCTCTGAGCCGCTCCCTGCTTATCCGCCCAGGCAATCTCCAGAGAGCTTTTAAGAACAATGATGCTGGCACAAAGCCAACAGTAACAATAGTAATGGCAGCCCACTTCCAGAGCTATGACTTAATTAGACTAGGGTGGGACCTGGGCACTGACATTCCTTTTAGAAGCTCCTCATGCTTAGGTATTTTCAAAGGCTTGGAGGGGTGGGACCCCCTGACCCAAAATTTAGTCCTAAGAGGGTGCAGGCAGGGTGTTGACTTGGGTGCAAGCAGAAATCCTTGGCCCTCCCCTCGCCCCGCCCTGGCCTGTTATCCCATTGTTCCTGCCTGGGTCTGGAATATCTGCTAGTGACCTGAGCAGAGGCCTGGGGGGGGGCGGGGGGGGGCTGAAGCAAGGAACCCCGGAGCAGGGGCTCAGTGGAGGATAGTTGCTCTGTGGGTGTCCTGTGGTCTCAGAGGTGCTGTTAGCACTCTCCTCCTGCCGCCCCCACCCTCACCCCCACGCCCAGCCTCTGGGGTTCCCTGCCCCAAAGTCAGACTTGTACATAAGCCAGAGGGGCTTCCTCTCTGGGCGGTGTGGCAAGCAATGGGCTCGGAGGGGGCAGTTCCGCGCCCTCGGTCCTGGCTGCCCAGTGTCCTGGCGCCCGGCCAGCCTGACACAGATGGGAGCTCACATGATTCTGCCTCAGCCCTGGAATGGGCAGCTTCCAGCTGGGATTTTTTAGACCGAGCTGGGAAGCTCTGTCTGCTGGAAATTGCCAGAGTTGGAGCAAGGTTCTGGCTGCTGAAGCCACCACACCAGGGTCCTCTGAGCAGGGCTAGGTCTCCTCCCCCCAGTCCTCTTCAGAGCTGCTGAGGAAGCAGGGCTGTTTGAGGCTTGAGGGCAGAGCTCTGCTCAGCAGGCAGTCAGGAAGGACTGAATTCAAACTCCCCTTTGCTGCCACTCACTGCCAGCTCCTCACCTGGCTGCGGAGACTGAGACGACCATTTTCCTGGGGTCAGTCCAGCTGTTTGCAAACTGGAGATCGTGACCCATGAGTGGGTCAGGAAACCAACTTAGTTGCTCATGACCTGCATGTAGACGACTGGAAATGACTGGGATGCAGCACCTGTCGTGGGGTAAGTATTGCTTTGGGGAAACTGGTTCTCGTCCTGAGTGCATGCAGGTGTCTGTATCATTTGTATGCTGGTCAAGTGCGATCTGTGGCCAGAAGAGCCTAAAAGTAGCAAGTTGATGCCTGGACATCTGTGTTCTGGCTTTAGCTCCAGACCTGCCGGGTGAGCCTGCCCCGCTGGGTGAGCCTTCCCGGGACACAGGGCCTTGAGATGAATTGGCAGGGCCACCCCACCGGGCTCAGGAGACTTTGAGCCCAAATGGGATTGAGTCTTGGAACAGTTATGAGGGCTTCAGAGATGAGAGGCTGTCAGCTTGGTGTGGCTGGAGTGAAGCTATTTAGGAAAGAGGGGGCTGGAGAAGAATACAAACTCCCTCCCCAGAGGCAAATATCAACAGCCCTGAAGGGAGTGACCGAGGATATGAAATATATGAAGATTCGACCAGCTAAAGAGAAGGGACCTGCAGGAAACCCCCGCTCTGTGGGCTGGGGGATTCCCCGCAGAGCTGCCCTGCCCTGGGCCCTGGCTCCATGAGTAACTGACTGTGCCGTGTGCATCACAGGGGAGAGGGGTGATGGATTAATCACTGTCCGCAAGGGGCTGAACTCCAGCTTCAGGCACCGCCGGCTGCCCGGGGCTGTGCGTTCAGGAGGCCCTTGGGTGTACCAAGCAGCCTTCTCTCCAGGTTCGTTCAAGTCCGCAGAGACTTCCACATGAATGAGTGCATGTCTGAAGACTTGCTTAGGGGTTAGGGTGCTGATGTGTAGTTTTCTTGATTTCTTGGTTGGATGATAAAAGCACCCCTTGTCCACATTCTCCACCCTAGCCTCCTCCACTTGGGGAGTCACAGAGTGGGTACAAGTAGGTTTTCCTGCGAGGGTGTTGAGGTGCCAGACTAAGCCTGGTGACCCTTAGGTGCATCTGTGAGGACCAAGCCTAGAGGCCTGGAGTGGAGCGTGGAGCCTCGGTGGCAGTTGTGGTAACCAGAAAGCAAGCATGGGCAGCTGAGCCAGAATTCGGTCCTCCTCACCCTGACGGCAGACTCTTGAGTGGGTTGGTGAATCCAAGCCTTGGCTTTTCCATCTGTAAAATGGGCTCTGATGTGAGTGGTGGTGAAGGGAGATGTTTGGAGATGAACCTGGCATGTGGAGGGCTCTCAGCAGTGTGGTGTAGTTCTTCTACCCCAAGTCCTTTTTCTACTGACACAACATTTGCATCCACTGTGTCATTGACTTTTGAAAGCTGAAGACTAAAGAGAAATGTGGAGACGAATGAGAGAAAGACAAGATGTCTTCAGGGAGGCGTGGAAGGGGAGGTTGGCTGTGATAAAGCTGGGGTGAAAAGCCGGGATGCTTTGACTAGCTCAGGCAGCTTGAACAGAGGCCAGGAGACGTCTCCTCCTTGTAGGATTTCTGTTTCTATCAAGGGTATGGCCGCTGTTCGGCTCCCAGACTCAAGCTGAGTGATTCAGTTAGATGTTGAGGAGCGCGCTTTCTGTGGAGACGGAGTAAAGCGGACTGACAAGTCTTCAGCGGTGGGCTGGGGGTGGGGGATGCAGGCTGGCTAGAAGATGGCTTTAAGGCGATAAGGTAAAAGAGGAAATGGTTTGGAGGCCCTCGTGCAGAAAGTGGGGAGGAAGGACCAGGTCAAATTAGGGTACAAGAGAGAACGAAGAGGAGGAGCTCAGCAGTGGACACGGGACTGGGCAGCTAAGTGGACGCTGTGGATGAAGGTGAGGGAAGAAGCTGAAGCCCTGCGTGACCCTGAGTGACTACAGGTGGGGCTTCTCCACCGGAGGATGAGGACTGATGAGTGTGGAAAACACTGGCGGCAGGGGGGTGGTGATGGGGGGGATGGGGGGGTCTCCGAGGCGGTCAGTGAGGCGGCAGGAAGCAGGTTATACCAGCTGTTGGGCAAACCAGGCGCCGCACAGGCAGGTCACGGCAACTGCATAAAGGAATCTTGGCGCCTTCGGTAGAGGTGATGCACCTTTATTTTTTTTTTTAAAGATTTATTTATTTACGCATACAGAACTGGGGTACAGGCCAGAGGTGCAGGGCGGTGAGAGGCTTCACCAGAGGCAGCAGAGGAGCAGAACAGGCAGATTGATGAAGTACACTGCTGAGGGGAGCAGCAGGCGGTCAGGAGAGGTCTGTGCACCATGTGGGTTGGCTCCGGGGCGGGGATGGAACTCGCACTGAAGCGGCTTTGCCAGCTTGCAGTGCTGTGTCTAACCGGCTGTGCCACCAGGGAGGGTCCGTGATGCACCTCTAATGCGGGAGCAGTGAGCCCGACACACAGCAGGCGGGGAGGCAACTGAGCCTCCCAGGCGCCCCACCCCCATATCTGAGACCACTCAGCCGGGCCTCTGCACTTGTAGGTCACGTGCTCCGTGCTCATTGGCCTTGGCCAGGTGTCTGCAATCTCAGGTGCACGTGCCCTCAGGCCAGGTGTCTGCTTTTGCCCTCCCACAACACCTCACCATGAGGGCAATGAAACCTGGAGGCAAGGCCGCAGGTGGTGACTAGACAGGTTGGTGGTGGAGGCGGAGAAGAGCCCGAGAAACTCCATTTTCCCTGCACCGACCTTCTGCTCTGCCAGGGGCACAATTGGGGGCCAGAGCGCAGGTGTGCTTGAAACCAGGGGCAGGGGTCGGCTGGAAGTGTGTGGAATAAAAAGAGCAAACCAATGTTCAAAGGGAGCGAGGCTTGCCCATGGCACCTCCAAAGCTGCTTCCGTGGTGGTGATTTGTACCCGGGGGCTGGAGGCCTCAGAGAGGGGGCACCGCTGTTTCTGTGTCTGGAAGTGCGTCCTGCCCGGTCTGCTGCCACGAAGGTTGTAGGCGCTTCGCAAATACTGGTCGAAGGAAACCCAGAGGCGCCGGATGGCTGGGGAAGCCCCTCCATCTCTCTGGGCCTCTGCCTTCATCTCTCAAACGGGGAGAATAAGAGGCTGTGTGAAGGTGGGACCGGAAGGCAGATGTGATCTCACATCTCTGTAAATCGTCATTTCTTGCCAGCCCGAAGTGGAAGTCCCCTGACAGATGTCGCCACTGTTTCTTGAGAGGCTGGGTGAGGTGGCTGTTCTCCCAGGGGCCGTGATCTGGTTCTGCCCACAGGGTCCTGCTGCCTCTGAGGCTCTCCTTCCATCCCCGGCTGGGGATGCATGCAGGACACTTGATCTGAGCCCTAAATTCTGGGCCTCCGAGTGCCTTGCCACTCAGTGTGGCCCATGGGCCACCGGCAGCCAGGAGCTTGCTGCAAATGCAGAACAGGAGCCCGCCTCAGACCCGACCCAGAAACGCCAGAGCGGGCCTGGCCCTCCAGGTGATCCAGATGCACCCGAGATGGAGGACTCTTGCTCCAAAATATCAAGGCTCTTTTTGCTCCTGAACAGCGGAGGTGCTGTAATCTCAATGCCAACACACATTTCTTCTGGGTCCCGCAGGCTGGAATAATTCTGACTCTGGTTGCCAGAATTAGCTTATGGTTGGCCTGGGAAAGAGAAAGCCACCAACTGTCACCCAGCCCCCCGGCTCCGGCACGTTCTCACCACGACTAAACTACAGATGGACCCGGAGACACAGGATGTGTTTGCACTGCAGTTTCACTTGCCCTGCTTTGTGGGCACCTGTGTGCATTTTACCCTCCTGTGGACGGTTTTTATCTGGGCTGTGGCAGGCCTGAGACAAATCCAGGGGCAGTCCTGGGCCAGTGTCCCTGAGGGCTGCTGCCAGCATGGCCCTATGTAGTGTGAACCTTTGGTCTCACAGGTGTGTGCTGGGTTCAGGACGGGGAGCTGACAAGAGGAGGGTACACAGAGCCCAATTCTGACTCTGGGGTATGGGCAGAGTCTAGGGCCAGCCCTTCTTCCCCGCTCTCTTCCTCATCCAAACATGTAAGCAAGGACAAAAACACAAAATGCAAAAAAAAAAAGAGAGATTCCCTGGGCTTTGTTGGTGGATATCTGATCAGTGTGAATACTGTACAAAATGGGACGGTGGTTCCTTTTCATTTTATTTTTTATTGGTGCATACAAGATCTCAGCTAGAGATATGGGTGCTGAGAGGCTTCACCAGAGACACAGTGGGGAGCAGAACAGCCAGATTGCCTGAAACATACTACTGAGGGGAGCAGCAGGTGAGACAGGAGAGGTCTGCTGTGCCATGTGGGTCACTCCCACTGGCCGGGGATTGAACTTGTGCTGCTGTGGCTGTGGATGGCTTCATAGCACTGTGCACTACCAAGGAGGGCCCGGTATGGTGGTTCCTTAAAAAATCAAAAGTACGGGCCCTCCCTGGTGGCACAGCAGGTTAAAGCACAGCACTGAGAAGCATAAGCCACTTCCGCATGAGTTCTATTCCCGCCTGCCCCGGAGGAGATCCACATGGCACAGCAGACCTCTCCTGACCCGCCTGCTGCTCCCCTCAGCAGTGTACTTCGTCGATCTGCCTGTTCTGCTCCCCACTCTGTCTCTGGTGAATCCTCTCACCCTCCGCATCTCTGGGCTGGAACCTCAGTTTTGTATGAATAAAATAAATTTTTTAAAAAAATCAAAAGTACAGTTAGCTTAGTGTCCATGTCTGGGTACTAGTGAGTGTCTTCAGTGCCAAAGAATCGAAAGCCCAGATTCAAACAAATATTTACACACCCATGTTTATTGTCAAAAGGTGAGAAAACCCGGATGTGCTTGCACAAATGAACAGAAAAGCAAGCTGTGGGCTGTATCCTTCGGTGGAATATTACTTAGCCTTAAACAGGAAGGGCACCTGGAATATTACTTAGCCTTAAACATGGATGAATCTTGGAGAAATTGTGCTAAATGAAATGAGCCAGTCACAGAAAGCTAAATGCTGTCTGATTCCATTCCTGTGAGGTCCCTGGGACAAACACTTCGAGATGGAAAGTGGGGTGGGGCCTCTGGGGCTGGGGAGCAGGGAAGATGTGCAGTGAGTGTTCAGTGGGGACAGGTCTTCAGCTGAGACAATGGAAAAGGTCTGCAGCTGGATGGTGGTGACAGTTGTAAAAAAAATGTGTCTTCAGTGCCACTCAACAGCGCATGCAGCTGGACTATATTTGCCCACAGTCACAAGCAGCAGGAAGCACCCTCTGTGGCTGGCATTCCAGGCCCAGGCCCTGCAGAGATGAGGAGGTGCGCCTGGCTGGCTCCCTTCTTCCAAGACCACTGAAGATGCATCTCTCGCGGACCCGGGATGCGGCACAGGATGGGTTCAAATGCCACCCGGGCTTCCTCAGGCGCCTGGGCCAGTGACTTCCCCTTTTGTAAACAGGTGGCATTCGCTCATGTGTTCCCCAAAGTCTTCCTGGGGCACCAGCCCTCTACCCTCTTGGCATTCTCATGGCAGAGGCAGATCAACAGGCAGACAAATAGAAAAAGAAGAAAAGTTTTGGATACTGATGGGAGCTCTGTGGCGTAACCAGATGTTGGTATCATGGTAGTAGGGGGCGGGGTAGTCTCTGGGGTGCTGGGAGGTGACATTTCAGTTGGGATTTAGCTCTGGGTGGTGGGATGGAGAGCTGGAGGCAGCACCCCAGGGGCAAAGGCAGGATGGGAGCTGCTGTCCGGGGCCCAGAAAGCTGTGGCCCCTGGCGGAGCACCGTGAGCTGGGCAAGGGGGCCGAGCTGGGGCCAGGCCGGGCCAGGCCTTGTAGGTCTGTGAGGAATCGGGGCCTTATTGTGGGTCTGTGTCTGTGGGGAAACTGTCTGTGGGGACTCTTGTGTGGCTGCCTGTGGAGCAGGAGAGCAGGGCTGGGGGCGGGGGCAGGTAGCGTCACCCATTTTGGAAACACTCAGGACAGCTACGGGCCTCCTTTTCCAGGAAAACTACACACACTTCTGTGTTTGCAAGACCGACTGTGTGACTTCAGGGCACCCTCAGGCTGGTTCCAGAACTTCTGGGTTGGGTGTGTCTGAGCCCCCTCCCAGTGCCCGGCAGAGTTCTGAGGCTGAGCTCTGGTCCTGGTCACAGGGCCGGGCAGTAGCCACAGAGGGTGGGCTCTGGCCATCAGGCGGTGAGATATGGGGGGTGGTGTTGGGCCCTGAGGGGTTTCCTTCTGTCCAGTGAGCCCCAGTGTGGCCGGTAAGGATGGGGGTACAGCTTCATTCCGTTCCCCTCTACCCCCGCCCCCACTCCCCAGACTTCAGGACTTGTAACCACTTAGCTCTAGCATCTCAAGCCGGGACACTGGCTCTTGGGTGGGAAAATCTTGATGTTATAGTACTTTGTTGCCTTCTAAAGGGCCACAATGCATAGATGGATGTGTGGTGTCTCTGGGGTATTTAAATTTCATGGGGAGGGGTATGGCTAGGAAAAAAAAGATATCCACAATGGCTCCTTGGGAAGATGATATGGGAAAAAAAGTAAAAAGATTAAAAAGTCCTGCTGTAGGGGCCTCCCTGGTGGCACAGCGGGTTAAACTACAGCACTACGAGGCGACCTGCAGCCACTGCAGCACAGGTTCGAACCC